TCCCTTTTTTTCTCCCTTTTTACAACTGAGGCGAACAGCCGTGGCAACAAGCGCAGCAGTGCGACCATCGCGTGCATGGAATTCAGAAAAGAAACCACGCTTGCATCGAAGCTCTCGATGACATTGCGAGGCAACCACGCAAGACGCAACCGATCCCGAGCACCGCATGCACGCGCGCGACACACCGACGCAAACGCAATGCACCGCGCGCCCAGCCACGCGCGACGGCGCCGGTCGGGCGGGCGTGCGTGCGTGCGCGCGCGCGTCCGCCTCGTCGCACGTACACGCATCGGCGATTGGGCGGCGGACGGGCGGATGAACCGAATTGAAGAAGCCAGCGTACGCACATTTTGCCAGTTGGCTACTGCCTACTACTGCACTGCTGCATGCAGGCCAGAACATTCGTCTTGTTCGACTTAAATTTGATCGGGCTAGTACTTGCCGGATAGTGGGTAACTAGTGTACGCGTACTTCTAGTAGTACTAGCACTTGAATTCGCTGCCTAAAAATGTCCAGCAGCGCAATAGCTGCAACAGCTAGCCCACGCACGTACGCAATGCGCGCATGGACCGGTTCGATGCATGGATTAGTTTTTTTAACCATGACCCAAGTAAACAGTGTTGAGTACTGCTGGTATCATGTGTAGTGCGGGAACAGGGTGACTTAGGGACAGAGCTAGAAATAACTTTAGCTAGCTTTGGTAGCTCACCATCCATGTGCGTGCTGCATAGTAGAGCACATCGATCAGCCTAGGAAAGCATGCGGCCGGCGTGCATCAGTGCATGTACGTTTGGATCGGATGTATGCAATGCCTGCCGAGCTGCGTACGTAAAATGGACACTTTCGTGTTGGTTAATTGTATAAAAGAAAGAGCATATGCAGTACATTTTTGCGCATAGTCGCAATAGATGCATGAGATTACCATGCATATGCGATGGACAAGAAAATTAAGGCATGCAATTCATTCTTCCGTTTCTTGCCTGTTTTAATTGTCCCTTTCAATTCCATTTATTGATCGATGTTGAGGCTCTGAAACTCTTGACAGTACTAGAGGATGCCCCGCGCGTTTGCCACGGGATTTGGTTTACATCAATTTGTTAAATAGAAGGTACAATCTCAAGAAGAAACTAATAGCTTTCTTGGAGAAATTCTTTTTAGCAGTCATATTCAAAATTTATAGATAAATTAGGTAGCACATGTCAACTGAAGGGGCGTTCAGCCACAAAGCTCTTTTATACGGATTGACGGGCTAGATACATGTAGATGTGTGTGGAGATGGGCCAATGTGTTTATGTGAGCTACATTTGACACTGAGGAGGCGAAGAGACTCACCCGGTGACTAATGGGTTGGGCTCTATGCTACATTCCATCCAACGTCTGAGAAACGATCTATTGCATTCATCCAACGGTTCATAATTTGATGATGACGTGAAAGCATGAGGTTTGAGCTTTTAGTCTTAACTTTATATAGAAAGAAGGGATGTACCCACTTTCTCGAGACGATCGATCGAGAGCATGTCCAAGCTATATATATGCGTTCAGTCCTCATTGTTATCGGACATGCACACCATGCATCACACATCTATATGTCGTACAAGTACTCGCGTTACGTGCGTTATTTTATTGTGCTACGTACCGTCGGACGACGTTGTTTAGTTTTTGGTGCCAAACTGCCAACTATGTAGAGCATATAGTACGAGCTATAGCAGAGAGAGATCGTTCATAGATGCACGCGGGCACGTACACATACATGACCTGTCAATTGCCGTCGTAACAAATAGCACAAAGATACATGCACAAACAGGTCGTAATAAATATAGATCAGAGAATTGAATTGTACTACGTACGTAGAGTATACACATAGATCTAGCTATATATGTTCATGTGCATCGTTGTAAGGCTTGTTTAGTTCGTGAAAAGAAATTTTTAGATGGCACATCGGACGTTTGACCGGATATCGGAAGAGGTTTTTGGACACGAATAAAAAACCTAATTTCATAATTTGCCTGGAACCGCGAGACAAATCTTTTGAGTCTAGATAATCCGTCATTAGTACATGTGGGTTACTGTAGCACTTATGGCTAATCATGAACTAATTAGGCTCAAAAGATTCGTCTTGCGATTTCCATACAAACTGTGTAATTAGTTTTTGTTTTTATCTATATTTAATGCTCCATGTATGTGTCCAAAGATTCGATGTGACGTTTTTGGGAAAAAAATTTGGGATCTAAACGGGGCATGAGGGCCTGTTTAGTTGGTGAAATAAAAATATTTGGGTGTCACATCGGACGTTTGACCGAATATCGGAAGGGTTTTCGGACACGAATAAAAAAACTAATTTTATAACTCGCCTGGAAACCGCGAGACGAATCTGTTGAGCCTAATTAAGCCGTCATTAGCACATGTGGGTTAATGTAACACTTATGGCTAATTATGAACTAATTATACTCAAAAGATTCATCTCGCGATTTACATGTAAACTGTGCAATTAGTTTCTCTTTTTATCTATATTTAATACTCCATACATATGTCCAAAGATTCGATGTGATGTTTTTGCGAAAGTTTTTGGCGGACTAAACAGGGCCTAAGGGCAGTCCCAACCCATAGTGTCCATAAGCAGTGTCTATGGTGCCATGTCAATAAGACATCACAATAGAAACTACACTCTACAACCCATGGTTTCTTAAAGTGGGACATTAATAAATACGTCACCTCTCTTCTCTACCAATCATATTTATTCTTCATCTATTATGAAGACATTATTCTCTCCCAATGCAAAACTTGATAGTGTCTAGTGCATAGGTTCTTGTGTTGAAGCTGTGTCTTGCATGAGATCCAGTTTCTTCCTTTCTTCACTCTCTTTCTTAATTAATATAGTGCCACATAAGTTAAAAGTCCTACGTGACAATGTATTTAATGCCATAAATATCATTCTAGGTGGAGGGTTGGGATTGCACTAAGAGCACCCGCAATGGTAAAGTAAGGTGCTCTCTATAAAACATGTACATCTCAGCAATATACTAGATTAATAGTAAACCACCTCAATAGTATGTCTACATGGGTATCTATAGCTCTCTCATCTATTGCCTCGTTTTTCTCTATAGACTATCTCCAAGTTAGTAGATAGCTTTACTCTCTTTCTCTTCATTTAATCTTTTTCAAATAGAAAAATATGCTGACATGGATATCTTCTAGAGAATCTATATATAACCATTGCGGGCGGCTAGGTAGATCGATCGAAACAGGGGGTTCCGTACAGCCGAAGCTAGCATTAATTCGTCGATCCTTGTGGTCCTGTAGCTTATAGCGCGCGCGCACACGTTGTCTTGCGACGTGCTGTGCATGCATGCTGCTATCGATGGCCGGCCGGCCGGCAGCCACACGGCCATGGACGTAGGACGTTAACTTACGCGCTGTAGGTGTACACTGTATCACACCCAGATCGATCGATCTGCACGCACACGACCGTACGTGCGCGCGATCACGAATTTAATCCACACGGACATTATTTATGACCTTTAATTTACTACAGACGCAATATTCATGTAATTAAGAGCAGCGGGCTACAGATTTGTAGCCAGTTGTAGCACAAACTCCAAAGCGCAGTGTGTGTATGATAGGTGGGACCAGATATTAATAGTGTAGTATGTAACTATTGTATAAATGAGCTATTAGATTAACTATAAATAAATTGGAACTAGTAGTTGACTATACTATTGAACTTGCTCTAACACAGACCTGGTAAGAGCACAATTCAACCAACCACAACGATAGAGGCAGCAGTAACTGTAACTCACATGTTTCTCGCACCAAATCAACCGCGCATAGTACTCCGTAGCTTAGCTCCAATCCAACGTCTCCCCGGCCGCGCGGCCGCCCGTTTTTCCAGCTACCACGACGGGTGCAAAGACCGGAGAAACGTACGTACGCGAGCTAGCTAGATCGGTCGCCGCGCGGGCGGCGCCGATCGAGATGCTGCATGCGCATGCGAGAAGCCCCCGCGCGACCTGCAGCGGCCAGCTGCGCGAGTCGCACGTATACGAAGGTCCATCGATCGGCACACGGTATCCGCGGTGGTCTCGTGCGGTGCGCGCGCCCCCCACCACGACCTCCGGGATTGCACGAGCAGACTCCCGTTTTTTCTTCGTTTCTCTCCGGACGCCGCTGCATGCGGACGCGCGCGCACGCCCCGGGCGGCTAACCCGATCGATCGATCCCCAGGGGGAAAGAAAATGGCAAGAAGGCTAGTTTTGTTTAATTCCTGTCTCGGGTTTGGTTGGTTGCTGGCACTGCACTACTGCTCGACCCCTTTACTCACTTGCAAGCAACCCGATCGACGTCCCACCGGTCGTCCCTGCTGGCAATTTACTTGTGTGTTTGTGTGTGTTATATATATATATATATATATATATATATATATATATATATATATAACACACACCGTGCACGTACTAGCACTGTAGCGCACCCATGACTGTCTTTCTTCAATTGAAATGAATTATTGTCGTCCCTAGTTAATTACTAGCAATTCTCAATATATAATTTTGAATTGAAACCAAGTTCATTACGACAAAAAGAAAAACTGAAAAGAATACTGGTATTGTATTAAATGCAGTACAGTGATCTCGTTAATTTGCAACCATACCTTAGCTCCACACTCCACGAAAACTATTCTAAACTTAACTTTCGAGGGATATCTCCTCGTTATTTACATGTCATCTAAATAATTATAAAAAAATTTAATAAGATAGATTAATATATGATAAATCACTAATATCAAATTTAACTTCTACAAGTTACAACTGAAAAAATAAATTTGAATGTAAGTATACGTTAGTTAGCCATAGTTTAATTTATTTTTCTAAGTTATACAAGCTAAATTTTAATCAATTGGATAACATACAAATAGTGAGCTCCACTCTAGCCTCTATGACTCCATCTTCTCCTACAAAACGGTCACACGCTTCACACGGCAAAGACACAATTAACCTTCCACAGAACGGTGCTCCAATCACTCCACTTCATCCTATTTAACCCACCCCCTCTCACTGTGCGTCTGTGCCTCTCTTCACACACACACGCACAACCAACCGCGCCGCCCACACGCCACGAGCGCCGCGCCGGCGAGCTCTTCGATCAATCGCGCCGGCCGCCATCGTCCCATGATAAGCGGCGCCGGCGGTGAGCAGCAGCAGCAGCAGGACACGAAGCGGCGGCTACCGGCGCCGACGACGTCCGAGCAGGAGAGGCGGCAGAAGCAGCACCGCGGGAAGATGCTGAGGCTGTCGGTGCAGCAGGGCGACGACGTGACCGCGGGCGTGGTGCCGCCGGTCACCGTCGTCCTGGACGGCCGCTCCATCTGCCACCGCGTCCACCTCAGCAAGCACACCGGCTACCGCAGCCTCGCCGCCGCGCTCCGCCGCATGTTCGTCGACGCGGACGACGACGTCGGCGCCGCCGACGAGGCAGCTGGCAGGAGCAGCTGCAGCGACGCCGACCGTGGCGGCCTCGACCTGTCCAATGCCGTTCCAGGGCACGTCGTCGCGTACGAGGACATCGAGAACGACCTCCTCCTCGCCGGCGACCTCAACTGGAAGTAATTAGCTTCACACTCATCTTGTTAATCTCACTTCGTGTTCATCTCGTGCTTTGTCTGAATTATTCTTGACGCATTTCTGTGTGCTGTTCATCTGATCTGATTCTCCTGCAATACATCCATGTCAGGGATTTCGTCCGTGTGGCGAGGAGGATTCGGATCATCCCGGCGAAGCCATCTAGCCGGATGAGGCCTCAATCTTAATCTGCTCGCTTGTAACTAAACCACATAAACCTCTAGCTACTACTAGATCCAGTATTCCTCCTTTCGAAATCGAAATAGTTTGTGTTTTTGTCATCAGTTTGTAACGTCGTTAAGAAAATTCAGTTAGTTATTATAATCCCGTTTTAATCGTGACCGGTAATGTGCACGTACGGTTGAATTGATCTGCAAATTAGTAAGGTTAATTAATCGATTCATTACAGGTTAGTTAATCAAATCGCTGCTCGTGTCACATCTTGTTCGCTGTACATGCTTAACTGTGCGTGTACGTGGAGTACGTCGTGTGCCGTGTCCGTCTCTCTCGTGAGTCATCGTCTGCGATTGACTTGTGTGTTCTTGCTTTGAAAGTGAGGGCTTGTGTTCACTGATTGCTTGTGTTTCTCAACTGCTCGATCGATCGATCAGTCTCTCGATAGCTTCTTGAACACCGACGCTTTGTCCGAACGTGCAGATATGCAGGTACATATATACAGAGATGCAGTTACAAGTAGCCGTCAGTTAACCAGCTCGATCAGTACTCGTCGATCTCGATGATATCGAATCTATCAGTGTAGCATCAGCTACGTACTATGCTATAAAAGTCGATTTCAATTAAGCGTCTGCTTCTGTTAATTTGGAGATTGGATCGATTTACACGCGTATGCACAAGAACAGTTTGGTCGATCGAGTTGACGATAGCAATGGATGAGACTGAGATTGGGATGGCCGCTGTGTCCAGAAGCATAACTGTCATGAACAGCGTTCTATTACTGCCTGCGTACGTAAGGAGTACGTGGATATGTACTTGGTCTCCATTAATTACTGAATTTTCGTGATAAAAACAGGCAGATGGATCGGCGACATTGGAGGACTAGTGGTTACTGCAGATGGATGTGACATTGACGGCATGCAAGCTCGTCCATGCATGGCATGGATGGATCCCCTTTTTTATCAGATCTTCTTCAGGGTAATTCTGATGCACCTAGCGATATGCCGATATCTAAGCCAGGAAAGAACATATGCAGATTAGACAGAAACTGTATAGGATCAGTCAGGGTCATGCTCATGCAGACATTCAGGGTCAGTCATGTGTACCGTCGTTGGTGTAACCAAATTAGCCGGGACAGAGAGGAAAAAGAAACTCAAGGCATACGAACGAGTCAGTACTGTTCAGTGGCCGTCAGTGACGTTCAGGGTTGGAACTCGGTGGAGTCATGACGCACGAGAATTGAGAAAGACAGCGGGGGATGCGCGTACGCATCTGCCTTGCACCGATCTAGATATATTTGTCACTCACTCACTTGTCAACTCTGAAAGCCTGGAACGCAACAGGATGAATCAGTCGTTTTTGCTGATTTAGATGCAGACCATGGTCGCCTTAATTTGTTGCCTCAAATTCAGTTTCCGGATATGATCATCCTTCCATAAATTCTTCGTGCAAACCGATTGAGTGTTTTGGCATGTTGTCTGATATATTATTTTCTCCTCAAATTCATCTTGAATGAGTTCAGAGTTCTCCATCGAGGCTCTGCATCTCTGATTAATTAATTACTTCTGGATCAATTAACCAATGGCAGTCAACGTTGAACATTCATATCCTAGATATGTGATTATCTGAGTATACAATTCTCGTAAGATCTTCTCACAGTCGTATTGCTGCCAAATGAGGCTAAGCTGTTCAGTTTTCACCTCTTTCCACATGGGCGGCTGGGCTTGTATTCAGTAATCAGTAGCTTCTCAGCACCTGCACCTGAAGTTTTTTTTGAGAACAACCTGCACCTGAAGTTCCCTTCGCGTTTGTACGTACTCTTCCTTGAGATCTGGGTGTTGTCAGTGCCGGCGATATATCTAGCTTTGGAAACTCGCAGTATCTTCTCTCCGTATATATATACATATCGCGTTGACACGATAGTACGATGAATAGTTTACAACTGCAACTTGCAAGCACTCTGTTCAGAACTCAGGTGTTTTCTGAAGATCATGTACACAGTGACAGTGAAACCAATTGGTAACCTGTTATGAAGAAAATGACAACCGGCAGTTTAATTTGGTTCTCTCTTTTGCTCATATATAAGACTGGCAAAAAAATAATCCACTCTATGCAAGTACTGGCTAAAGAATTAGAGTTTTCTTGTAGGGAACAAACAACCTTTTTATTCAGTCGGTTCAGATAATTTACACCTGAAACTTTGCAACTCCTCTTTTTCTATGTTTGGTTGTTACTATAACCTAATGCAAGTGATCACTAATCAATAACGGACTGGTCCCATCCGTAACCACAGCACATAGTATCTCCCTTGATGAGACATGCAAAGCACACATAACCATTCTTTCTTATATGGAAGTACATAACATAATTCTCAAGTGGTGCTTCCACGGCACTACTTGCTATTTATATGTTCGTTTTGCATGCCATTTGGTTGGCTTCCTCGCCTTAAATTCTGCCATCACATCAACTCTTCTCGTCGTTTCTCTAATCTAACTACCGCCCTAGAAGCAGGATCAAAGGTGAGAGTATGTGATATAGAGTGGACACAACAATGCTAACTTGTACTTCTTGACTATACAGCATTGTCAACCACTAGTGTCATAGCATATCCGCTCCTCACCATTCGATTGATCGGTTCGGTTGGTTAACTTGTATAAGAACTTATTAGAGCCAGCACGAGGCAAATATAGATGCCTACTATCATTATTATTTCTTTAAAACACTGTATAAAAGCAAGCGAACATCTTTTTTTTTTAGACGACGAATCACATCCTCATTAACTGCGTGTTCGCTCGACAGGTCTAATTCCGTGTGATGTCCCCTCCTGGCTGAGTTGCCCTCTCTCCCCCTCGTGGTAGCTGGCTCCAGGATTAGTGGTCATCCTCCAGGGCCTGTTTACCTGAGCACCTCCGCATCGGTTTCGACTCCTTGGTTCTCCTAGTCTCCTGGCAGCTGTAGAAGGAACGAAACTCCAGGGTTTTCGACTCTGCGCTCGCTTCGGTCCTGGTGGTTCTGGAGTCCATCCGCTCAGAGGGCCAGCTGTGTTCTTTAGCCGGTGTTGCTGTTTTTAGGGATTTCTTGGGAGTGTAGCGTGGCTCTACCCCCTCCCACGTGTTTGGAGTTGTGTTTTTAGCCGTCATAGTAGTTCCTAGCTCGGGTTATTTTATTTTTCTTTTTCTCCCTCCCCCCTTGGGCATAAGCTGTTTGGATTCGATGCGACGTACAATCCTTTTACGCGTTTGAAAAAAAAAATGAACATCTTCTTATTATCGAGATCTGCTAGATAGCCCGAACAACTGTCAAGCATCGCCAGATACTTTCTTACTTCCATTTATCAAATAGAGCATCACAGCTCTACATACTTTCTTACTTCCATAAAAACCTCTTATATTCGGAACGGAGAAAAAAATAGACGCTGTACTAAAGCTCTTGTAGCTGTCACATCGCAGGAAAAAAATATTTGTTTAAGTTGGTACGAAATTGAAAGCAATAGCAAAAATATTAATGGCATGTTTTCAACTTTCTTTAGTAGGCTTATAATTATTTTAAAAAAACGAAAAAGTCTTTTCATCTAGCAATTTTTGCATCACAAGATGGATCATCCAGGACGGCAGCAGATGCTGAAAAGAGATCCCAGTGCAGGGTTCAGACAAAGGCAGCTTTCTCCTCTTCTGCTGGGGCAAAAAAAAAAAGTTTTTAATCAGGCGAGAAAGGCAACAACAAGCGCAAAGCACGTCAAGATCACGCCGCTCGCCTCCTCCGTTGCAAAAGACAGCGACTTTATAAAAAACAGCAGAAAAAGGCGAGACTTTTAGCCCCCGCAACAACTCGTCTTCCTCCCCTCTCCAGCAGCGTAGGCCAGCGAGCGGCAGCGGCAGCAGCAGCAGTTGTTGTTGGGGGTAGGTGCGCCTCCTCCCCAACCAAACCCTCGCTTCCCTCGCGCGCGGCGCGGCGATGGCGCTGGCGCTGGAGGCGGCGAGGTCGTGGGCGGCGTCCGTGCTGCCGCCGGAGCTCGCCGCCGCGGCGGGGGGCGACCCGCTCGCCGCCCTCGCCGCCACGGCCGCGGCGCTCGTCGCCGGGGTGGTCATCCTCGCCGTGTGGTTCCGATCCGGTGGAGGGGCGCCGCCCAAGGCCGCCGCGCCGCCGCCGCGCCCGCCGCCGGTCAAGATCGAGGCCGACGCCGACGCCGACGACGGCCGGAAGCGCGTCACCGTCTTCTTCGGCACGCAGACCGGCACCGCCGAGGGCTTCGCTAAGGTCGCTGTTCGATCCGATCCGCCTCCGATCCAAAAGTTCCCCTCCTTTGTTCTTTTTTTTGCGCGATTTTGCCTTTTTAATCTTCGTGTACTTACTCGATTCGATTCGATTCGGTTTGTATTGCTTTGCTGCAGGCGATGGCAGAGGAGGCGAGGGCGCGGTACGAGAAGGCGGTGTTCAAAGTTGTGGATCTGGTAATTGTGATGATCTTGATCTGCATGTGTTTGTGTGTATGTGTATGCTAGATCGCCTGTCTGAGCTTTGGTGTTAGGAATCTGAGATATGTGTGGGACATATGTAGGATGACTATGCAGCTGAGGATGAGGAGTACGAGGAGAAGCTCAGGAAGGAAACTATCGTGTTGCTCTTCCTAGCAACGTGAGTCCCCTTGCTATTTTGATTGGTCGATTGCTGAATTGTGCCTTTTGTCGCTAGCGGGGGTTACATAATTCACCTACCTTTGTTGTAAAGCTCAAGTGACATGTATGTCATACAAAAATTGTTGAGATTCTATAGTTACAAAAGCTACCCTAAGTCTATAACATAGGGAACATCGCTATGCCGTCAATCAGCTATGCCATTAGCAAACATCGCAATTCAGATGAATTATATAGCAGCCTAATGAGCCTAATGGTAGAGGGATTCATTGCTATCTGAGTAAGAGTTGAACAAGTGGGTTTTTTGTGGGTGAGAGTTGAACACGTGGGCTTTTTGTGGGGGAGCTAGCTCAATTATTCTTGTCCGGATTGTTATGAACTAATGCCATTGAATGGCATCTTGAAAGAACTTAACTAGCTTGGGGGTGAATTTCCTTTCATTCTAGAATTTATGAACAACAATCAATCTTTGCCTTTACATGAGTTGCACATACTGTATCTCTTGTGGCTATATTCACTTGCTACGTGTCAATGACTTCTGTAGCTAATTATGTTTCATCGAGTGTAGATATGGGGATGGGGAGCCTACCGACAATGCTGCAAGATTCTACAAATGGTTCACTGAGGTGTGTAAAGTCATTTTGACTCCATTTCGTTGACATATTCTAACTACATTATTTTATGATCTCCTTATTAATTTTTGGCATTGAAGCAGGGGAAGGAAAAGGAAGTCTGGCTTAAGGATCTTAAGTATGCTGTTTTTGGCCTGGGAAATAGGCAGTATGAGCACTTTAATAAGGTTAAATTTATTGACTATGAAATGCTAGTATAAATTGGTAAAGGTTGACTAGTGTTCTGGTAACTGATGCTGGGTTATTTATATTGAAAATATAGGTTGCAAAGGTGGTGGACGAACTGCTAGAGGAGCAGGGTAAGTACTCTTTGCTCTACACTTCATTTGGAGAAAAGTTGGGAAAATAGGGCGAGTGCATTGCTATATTGAAACAACTTGTTGCACAGGCATGGGGCACACTTCCATTGTAGCAGTTTCTAATTAGTTTACTAACTTTTGTAACAAGTCTATTGTGGAATTTAGTTATCTTGTGAGCAATTTAATTTTGGCATATAGTATGACCATTCCAATACATGTTTATATTTGTTCCTTATTATGCTTCCATCATAGGTTTTACTCTGTTTTACATCTTGTTCTGATGTAAACCTTTGAGCTTGCTGCCTGATATATTCATCAGTTAGTCATTCCTGAATGTAGTAAAATCATGTTGAACTTTTCTTATGTCGTGCATTACGTAACAAAGTGATATTTCCTGACATATATTCCTGCAGCCTGATCCTTTATTGGGTGTAATTATTCTAATTTATGCTGCATATAGGTGGCAAGCGTCTTGTCCCAGTTGGCCTTGGAGATGATGATCAGTGCATTGAGGATGACTTCACAGCATGGTATGGAGATCTTTGTGTTCTCTTTTCTATGTAAATATCTGTCGTGTAGGGACAAAAGTGGGTTGGATATCTGATTTGCCTGATTCTATATCCGCAAAATCTAGGCTTGAACTCCAAGTTTTCTCTTTGATTGGTCCTGGATTTGGATACTGAATAAAAACCTCTTTTGTCATATGTGAAACAACAACTTGTCTTTTTGGTGAATGTGGAATGTTTCCGCTTTCTGGAAAATGGATGTAGAAGATATACCCCATATCTAGTTCAACAAATATACCACATGCACCATTTTTTTTTCTTCAGTACACAGAAACATTGATACAAATAAGTGTGCATGGTATATTTTTTGAACTATTTATGGGGCAGAGCTTAGGCTTCCACATGTACCTGCATAGTTTTGGATATATTGAGCCTTCCTTTACAACAGAAATATATTTTACTAAAGCAAGTTAGATTTGTTGTAGTTAGATTCTTTAATACTCCCCTTTATTGTTCTTAAATCTATCCTGTTTTTGCGACTAAATTAAATTGATACTAACAATATCAACTTGGATTCTGGTCTATAGGTTGAAACCCCACCAAAAATGATTATTCCTTGGCAAATGTTCTGTTAAAACAATTTATTGCTCCTTGCCTGAATTTTATTGACAAAGTGATGTCTAGATTATGTTATTACTTTCTAAGTATACTGGTATTTTATCTAAAAGCATTTTGGCAATTCTAATACTTGTAGGAAAGAACAAGTTTGGCCAGAATTGGACCAACTGCTCCGTGATGAAGATGATACAACTGGTGCATCCACTCCTTACACTGCTGCTATACCTGAATACAGAATTGTATTTATTGATAAATCAGATGTATCGTTCCAAGACAAATCGTGGTCACTTGCCAATGGCAGTGGTGTTATTGATATTCACCATCCTGTCAGGTATTCATATGTCAAGAAAATGATTTAGCTACACCTTCCTTCTGTTCAGTTAGAATACAGTATATGCATTCTAGTTCATCATTTGATTATTGCCCAGGTCTAATGTTGCTGTTCGAAAGGAACTCCATAAGCCAGCTTCAGATCGCTCTTGCATTCATCTGGAGTTCGATATCTCAGGCACTGGTCTTGTGTAAGTTCTTTGGTATCCTAAAACTGACATTTTTTATGTCTTCTCGTGTAGTTTTGACATTTATGTGTGAAGTCAAATGACTCAACGATGATCCTTCAATTTGTATTTTATTGATAACAACTTATATTTCTAAGAACTTTGTATCAGGTATGAAACTGGTGACCATGTTGGTGTTTATTCAGAAAATGCTATCGAGACAGTGGAGCAGGCTGAAAAGCTGCTAGATCTTTCCCCAGATACATTTTTCTCCGTCCATGCAGACGCAGAAGATGGATCACCTCGTAAAGGGGGTGGTTCTTTGGCCCCACCTTTCCCTTCTCCTTGCACCTTACGGACTGCACTTCTAAGATATGCTGATCTACTTAATTCTCCAAAGAAGGTCCTCAACTCCGCCTGATCAACCTACCATATTCTTTATGCTAATATGTTGTCCTATGATAATTTGACCAATCCTCGCTTGATGTATCTACAATAGGCTGCTTTGGTTGCTTTAGCTGCTCATGCGTCTGACCTAGCTGAAGCTGAAAGATTGAGATTTTTGGCTTCCCCTGCTGGAAAGGTAGTGCCTTTCTAGTTAGAACTTCCATTCTAGGATCTTTTAAGTGGTATATATATTCTCTGCTGACCGCTAGACTTGCATGTATACAGGATGAATATTCTCAATGGGTAGTAGCTAGCCAAAGAAGCCTTCTTGAAGTTATGGCTGCATTCCCTTCAGCTAAGCCCCCACTGGGAGTATTCTTTGCAGCTGTTGCACCTCGCCTACAACCGCGTTACTACTCCATATCATCATCTCCAAAGTAAGTATATTCTGACCTCTTAGTTATTATTTATTTAAAAGGACACAGATGGTATCCTTGTGCTTGGCAAGGAACATCCACTTCATTTTGTGGGGTTCAAAACAGCAAGAAGCTTACACAAATTTTTATTAGGAGTGCCTTTCATGCCTTGGTCAGCATGAATTCTTCAACTGCTAGATTGCTGCATTATAGTGTAATGAAGTCATTTTCGATTTCAGACACTGCTGCATTGTTGCATCATGGTGTCATGTTAGATTTTGGACACTGTCTGATAATGTATTTTTTGTGGTCATTTTGAGGATATGACTTGCTGTTCTATTTGTTCTCTTGCTGCAAGATCTGACTCCTTGAATATGTCCCTACAGGATGGCTCCTTCCAGAATTCATGTAACATGTGCGTTAGTTTATGGACCTACACCAACGGGAAGGATTCACCAAGGAGTTTGTTCGACATGGATGAAGGTGAGTTTCTTGTACAAATTATAACTCTCTCTCTATATATCTCTATATTGCATTGCCTGCAATGACAATGAGAAGGTTTCCTACAGCAGTTTGACTTATTCCTCCTCCACAATATCTACTTTGTAGAACGCAATCCCATCAGAATATAGTGAAGAGTGTAGCTGGGCACCAATTTATGTGAGGCAGTCAAATTTTAAGTTGCCTGCAGATCCGACCACTCCAATTATCATGATTGGTCCTGGTACAGGGTTAGCACCATTTAGAGGCTTCTTGCAGGTTTGTTTTCCCAAATCTTCATTTCTGTTTACTTTGGATTTGAGATGGCCCTAGTAACTTTATCTGTTATTTATGCTTGCTCAGGAAAGATTAGCTCTAAAACAATCTGGAGTTGAACTGGGCAATTCAGTTCTCTTCTTTGGATGCAGGAACCGTAATATGGTATGCATCAAAAGATAGTTCATGAGATACATATTATGATCATGTTGCTCTTACTGGACCTCATCTGAATGACCAACCTGCAGGACTACATATATGAAGACGAGTTGCAAAACTTCATTCAGGAGGGTGCACTTTCTGAGCTGATTGTTGCCTTCTCTCGTGAAGGACCAGCCAAAGAATACGTGCAGCATAAGATGACAGAGAAGGTTAGTTCGATACACGCTCCACATTTCTACCGCACTATGCTGCTTTTCTTGAACTTCTATACAGAATTTCCCCACACATGGCTATACTCAATGAGGTTTTCTGCTGATATCAGGCCACAGAAATTTGGAACATCGTCTCACAAGGTGGTTACATATATGTGTGCGGTGATGCCAAGGGTATGGCAAGAGACGTACACAGAGCTCTTCATACAATTGTTCAAGAGCAGGTAGACAGAGAGACACTTTGTCTCATCAATATCTTTATTATTTATCGATTGAGAGATGTCGAATTAGTCATGTATTTTCCTGCTCCTAACACTTACATTTTGCACCTTGTTTCAGGGATCTTTGGATAGCTCCAAAACCGAGAGCTATGTAAAGAGCCTACAGATGGACGGCAGGTACCTCCGTGACGTATGGTGACACCATCAGAATTATCAGAAATAGCTCGCTCTAGCTTTGTAGAAGTGAAGGTGTCAAGAGTCGGATTTGCCTGTAAGGCCATGGTGCATGCCAATCCAATCGTGAGTTTTTCAGAACGAAGCGTGCCGTTGCTTAGAAAATTGGAGTTAAAAGTCGGTGTAATTCTTTGACATCTAACATGGTTCCGATATTTATTATTATTATATGGATGATTGAAAGAATAAGTACCTGTTGTAGATTTGTAGAACCTGAAAGTTGGCCCTGTCCCTTCAGTTTGTAGTAAGAGGGATACATCATACAGTATGAGACAATCAGATTATATCGTGTATACATTGAAAGAACACCAAGCCAATTTTGCATCTGGTTTATGAATTAAAACATATGCTTTAAGTAGCTACCACTGTTGTTTTGCCATCCTGAATTATTGGAATGGATTATTTGCTCTACTCTTCAAAAATTATATTTTCTTAAAAGCTTTCTCCTACCATATTGCTAAGATCCACTTTGTTTAGCTTATTTGTTTAAATATTTATTTTCTATAAGCAAGTAGATAATTAGTCGCAATAATTTGTGCCTCTTTCCTTTGTGCTTGTCTACGTCAGCACGGCCAAAACATACATGCCCACTTGTCTCCGTGATTTTTCGTCAGAGATAGCATAGCAGCTTGGTCGTTTTCGCCGATCAGATTTCGCGAAAACCACCAACTTGATCAGTGTCACCCACACGCACCGTCACTGAGATCTTGTCCATTTGGTTGAAAAAATCACTGCAAAATGCTGAGAAAATTGAACAGAATAACTGCAACCGACAACACAGTCATGATGCTCTGATGGTGAGGCATCGGATCTACTGCTCCACAAATCCACAAAACTAAGACCCTGTTTAGATGGGACTAAACTTTTAATTCCCTATCACATCGAATGTTTGGATACTAAGTAAAAATATTAAACGTAGACTATTAATAAAGCTCATCCATAATCTTAGACTAATTCGCGAGACGAATCTATTGAGCCTAATTAATCCATGATTAGCCTATGTGATGCTACAGTAAACATTCTCTAATTATAAATTAATTAGGCTTAAAAAATTTGTCTCGCAAATTAGTTTTCATTTATGTAATTAGTTTTGTAAGTAGTCTATATTTAATACTTTAAATTAGTGTCTAAATATAGAGACTAAAGTTAAATCCCTGGATCCAAACACGACCTAACTCAAGTCCTGAGATAGGATAGTACAGTCAGTCTCGATTTGATAGGGACACCTTTGTCTCAATCACTTCAATATCAAAACAAAATGCATCGTTTTTTTCTCTTGATAATAACAAATATGCATTGCTATGGCTAGTGACTTGGTAGTGCATAGGAAAATGTAGCATTTGCTGACTATGCATGGTGACACTCCGAGAAGTTAGCTGCAATATGGAGGTGACGATGCTGTCGCCGGTTGGCCGGCGAGTGTGACAAGAAGCAGCCACGTCGCCTCTGCATGTGCCACCTTCTCATCACACTTCTTTCTGTCTTTCTTTTCTTCAGACATGTGAAGCTTAGCACCGAGCTGCAGGAAATTAACGTGCTGCACACTAATCGCCGGGCATGCACGATATGCGCACACACACACACACACATATTATTATATGGTCAACGGCAATCAGTTTATAACAAAATCACTGTACCATCTTTGACTGTCAATCTCGGCCGGTCGGCCTACGTACTTACGTCTTCAGATACAACGGCCACTTCATGTTCATTTGGCTCCCAGCTTCATGCTAGTGGCAATTAGAGTATTAATCAAGATTCTGCCGAAGACCAACCAACTAATCATGCAAAATATGGCACCTTCCTACTTGCTAACATGCTGCATGTTTTAGCAGTTGCAAACTTGGAAATCAGCTGCAAGCAGCTTGCATTACAACCTGCTCTTCCCGCTGCAGGTTTCGTCAGAGCTAGCAGACGATCCCAACTTTGCAAAGGGTAGTAGTAGTAGCAGCAGCAGCAGCTGTACTAGATACGGCATATTCTACGTAGACATATACAAATAGTGCAGTGCTTCCACTGACAGATCTACACGTCCATATGGACCATATCTGAACAGATATACTACCATTGAACACGTCAGAACATACATCAGATAGATTATAATTTGCCTAGCAGATGTATACAAAATGTCTCATCTTTTCTGGAGGGGATTGAGACGACGTAAGGAGTTACGAACCAAGCTTAGCCTTTGCACCTAGAACACCAAGGAGAGAAAAAAAGTTGTGCCAGGCACGTGCAGACGTTGAACTTTCTGGCAAATCAGGCTTAGTTTAAGCCTCTTGGTTAGCACCGGAAGCAAAGAAAGGTAGCTAAGCTAATATCAATTCAAGCTGAGCTGAGCTGAGCTATAGGTGTCTGGTGTGTTTCCTTTAGAATCACTCGCGTACTGCTTAATTAACCAATTCGATCATCAACAACCTCATTATCGACCGCAATGAGATGGCCGTAGGGCAGCATGTGTGTTAAGTACTAACCTTAGCTTTAGTTCTTCTTCGTCGTCGTCCCTATCCTGTTTGGTTCACTTTGATGACGTGCTGCGTGTCCCAATGGGTAAGAGGATCCGTGGTTATCCGTAGGACACATTGTTTAGGTTGTTGGGTTGTAGACAATATGGAGTAGCATCGCTATGGTTACTGGCTGCGATCTCTCCAGTTGTATTGCATATGTATGAAAAACAATTCTTTCCTGAATAAGACACAGGGACCGAAGGACTGTTTGGTTGTTATCTTCAATTTACCATGGCTAAGGTTAGATATGTCAACTTCTTAGGCAATCGTCTGATTCATTGCCACAACTGAATTTAGATCTGTTCTTCAGAGTGACATAGCGTTGGAGGTTCAGAGACAAAAAACTATTCGGCGAAGTGCCTCGCTTCTCATCAAATCAAATCGTTATAAACAAGTGTGTAGATTAATTTGACTGTACTTACTTCCCTACCAACCGCATCTGACTGAGTACTTTTGTCGTCCCAGCAATTCTTTTACCTGTAACTCAGAATGAAGCCGCTCTTCAGTTCAGAGTTCAGACTTTCAGCGTGGCACTCACAGCGCAGTTTTTCGCCGATCGATCGATCGACAGCGCCGTTGAACCGAACACGAATGTGAAACGTAACGCAACCGTGGGGCCATAGCGAATTGCATGCCATTCTGAATTGAAAAACCAGTAAAAATGGGCATGTCCACGTGATGCCCACCATCTTCTTCTTCCCCCGACCTGCCCGGTGATGAGTAGTCCTACTACTCGTGCGATGTATGGATATTTTGACCAGATTCCCCTTCTCCCCCAACGACGACCGGCACGGACGGCGCACGTGCGCCGGGGTGCACGCGTCGCAGAGCCGCTAGCTCCGGCCGGTCGACCCGCCGGTACGGTTGCACGCCTCTCTCACGTGCTGCCTCCCTGCCGACGTGAAGGGATCGATCCGGCGTGTCCATGGCATCACTACAGTACACGTCATCCAGCCCTGCTCGAGGAATCCTGAACGTCCGATCGATCCGTGCAACGATCGGAGGGTGCCGATCGATCGACCAGCCTCTCCGTACCCTTTGAAGCCTTGGAGTAAGATGATACGGCGAACGGTCGTCGCCGCCGTGTGAAGCCAACCAGCAGCAGCTAGTGCATGCAGTGCAGGCGTGGCGGGCGGCGGCGAAACGTGGCGACACCCTACACGGCGGCGGTGGCGGCGGCCAAGGTACTGGCCTACTCCGTCAGCTCCATGCTCCATCGATTGTCGTCGCACGATTAGAGTAGGTTCAATAGCCAACTATGAACATGTATCGAGGAGATAAAAAGAAAAGAAGAGACCAGGTGTATGACAGGTGATTCCAGAGGCGGAGTTAGAGTCTTCCCATGAGCCGGTGAAAAAAAATTTGTAACTAAACCTTACCTATTTTTATCATGTGTGCACCCTCTCAATATAAATTTAGAAACATGTATCAACTTAAACTCGATATAAAGTAAATTAAATTAAACAAGTGACACCCCCTTCATTTCGTTATAGCTTCGCCCATGGGTGACTCTAAGATGCAATGTGTATGACAAGTGAGACCATATAGTATTTTTTTATAGGTAACTATTATATGTATTGACTATTAAATTGATTATAGATGATTTTGAGTTATTAGTTAGATATAATAGTATTAAACTTTCTAAACTTTCTCTTAGCTGAGGTAGATAGCGAGCGAGGAAAAGACGCAATGGTGTACACGTACACGTCGTTTCCTGTCATCGGTGGCTGCTTCCTCCGTGCCGTGCATAAAACCCCCTCCCATTTCTGCTCCATCTCCGCACCATTTTTGTCATATATTTACCGGTTGTTTGCACGACTACAAAGTTTGCTCCACTACATCATGTTTTTGTGGTCGTACTGTTCTTGAGGGGACAGGATACAAATATACTAGGGTCAATGCGCATACATAATTAAATACATAAATGTACTTGTCTCTTTAGAGGTTTTTAAAATTATCTACAATATCTAAATTAGACACACCTGTAGCGATGTAAGTCGGTCGGATCATATGGTGCAAAATGTTAATGATTTTGGAACATAATTTCAGCGGTTCGTTGTTGAAATTTTTCGGTGCGCTACCATATGGTGCTGCCAGTAAAAAAAAGAAATTTATTTGTATACAGTTAAAAAATAAAATTCAGCAAAAAAAAAAGTTGGGGGAGGGTCGGAGTAGTCTTTAATTTTTGCATTCCGGAGTACAAAACACTTCTAAGATTGGAGAAATATCAGTCCTTGATTAATAACATTAATTAGGATGTAAAACAAGGAGGGTAATATATAATAGGATGAAAATGGTCAACATGGGAAAAATGTTCAAACCATTTCCAAAAATATATATTTTTTCTTGGAAAGAAAATCGAAATGGTATAGTCAGAGACGAAAATAATGTTGGTCCTACGATTGCAATGGCAACAAAATTACATTGAGAAATATGGAAACATAATTATCGGAATTGAACACATTGGAAAATATCACATTAACAATGAGAAGCAAATATTTTTTTATATTACAAATTTAAATGATATTTAAGTAGATATTTAAAATAGTAAGTAACTAATTTAAATACTTTATAACGATGTTATAACATCAGCACTCTACACCACACAAATGTTATGGTTATTTTCTTTATTTTGATGGGTTGTCAGTACTTATATGGGATATTCTGGCAATTTAGGTTGAAAATGGTACTTCCCTCTATCCAAGAAAATCTTATATGGAACATTTCATAGTAAAAGAAATCTTGACAAAGAGCATATTTTAGATTCATAGTATGTTGCTAGTAAATGATTAGGAAAATCTAAACGATCTATACAAATAGAAATTATATCATCTTCATTATAAAATGTTATAATCTAGGATGACGAGATCTATTCTAAAACAACTAATCTCAACATAGATATGTGCGGTCAGAAAATTACGTACTCCCTGTCTCGCTCCGTTTCAAAATATAAACATTTTTAAAATAGTGCCAAGTCAAAATTTTTAACTTTAACTATTAAAAAAATAAAAATGATAAAACATGTAAAAATGATATTGCTAAGTCAAAGTAGCATCATAATATATATAACTTTTTTATTTAAAACATCTTACTTCTATAGATATTGCTAGTCAAAATGGTATCTCGAAAACTGTGTCGAATTTCAAAAATACTAATAATTTTTAACGGAGGGAGTATAGCCAACTACTACCTCCAAATCATATATAATCAATTTAATAGCCAATTCATATATTAGTTACCTATAAATATATACTACCTATTAATATCCGGTCCCACAACTTGTGTTGCAGCTGGCTATAAATTTATAGACCGTTGTTCATCTCTCTTCTTTCATATTCTCGATATATGTTTATAGCTGGCTTATAGTCTGCTACTGTACATACTCTTACCTTAAATAAAGCTATAAATGTGTAGCCTACTGTTTATCTCTATCTTTTTTTCATCTTCTCTCTATATATATTTATAGCTGGTTTAAAGTATGCTATTGTACGTACTCTTACCAAGTAAACATCAACTCGGCGTGATTGTTCTAGGGTGACCTATCTTCATGAGCGGCCGGGCATGCAGAACCAAGCCTATCCATCCATCCAGATTTGAAGCGAGCATTGCCCCTGCCTGCAATGCAACTTTGCTTCCAAGGCGGTCAAGGATACCGCCGGCGCCGACCGCACCCTGCCCTCCACCTGTAAAACGCCACCTCTTCACCGCTGCCACCACACCTCTCCTCTCCTCTCCTCTCCTACTAGCGGCCAAGCTTTCAAAGCCATGGAATAGTAGTACTAGTAAAAAGCATCTCTCTCTCTCTCTCTACATACATGGCGCCTCCTCGAAACCCTCATATAAATATACCGCGCCTCGTTGCCTGTGCGGCGCCCCTCTCTCTCTCTCTCTACAGACTACAGTGCGTCGTCGTGTCTTCTCTTTCCTCTATTTTATCACCATCCACCGCCCCATTCCTGCTCTCTTCATCTTCACCTTCACCTAGCTGCTGCTGCTGCTTCTTCTTCTTCTATCTGCTACTAGTAGCTCGCAGAAAAATACTCGCCTCGATCGACAAGCTCTCGTTGTTACCTTACCATGGACATGGACACCTCGCACCACTATCCATGGCTCAACTTCTCCCTCGCCCACCACTGTTAGTACTCATTCTACTTCGTTGTCTGTTCATCGATCACATGTGTGTGTGTTCTTGGTCATTTTTTGGAGTAAGTGCCGTGCTTATGCGTTGGTATGTGTGTGTGTTTGTGCAGGTGAAATGGAGGAGGAGGAGAGGGGCGCGGCGGCCGAGCTGGCCGCGATAGCCGGGGCGGCTCCGCCGCCGAAACTGGAGGACTTCCTCGGCGGCGGCTGCAACGGGGGATCAAGCGGTGGCGCTTGCCCGCCGGTCCAGACGACGGCGCCGACGGCCGCCGAGCTGTACGAGTCGGAGCTCAAGTTTCTCGCCGCCGGCTTCCAGCTGAGCGGCGCGGCTGGGGCGGCGCCGCCGGTGCCCGCGCTGTTGCCGGCGGCTGCTCTAGAGCAGACCGACGAGACGAAGCAGCTGGCCTTGCCGCCGCAGGCCGCGGTGGCGCCGCCGCCGGAGCAGAAGAAGGCGGTGGACTCGTTCGGGCAGAGAACGTCTATCTACCGCGGCGTCACACGGTAAGCTATAGCTAAGCTAAGCTGAGATCGATCAGTCTATGCATGTGTCGGCCATAAAATCTAAAAATAAATTCTTAGCTAGCTCGTCTAATTTCTTGCACGCAAACTAATCATCTCGTGTTCGTGTGCATCCTTCATATATAGATTCACATGCATCATCGATCGTATTAATAGGATTTAGTAGTAGTTTTTTTTGTTAATGGGAGTAGAAGAATCAAATGACCAATATTTGTTCAGAGATTTTAATTAGGGCATAAAAAATCCTTGGTTATGTATAGGCATCGGTGGACCGGAAGGTACGAGGCGCATCTGTGGGATAACAGCTGCCGGCGTGAGGGCCAGAGCCGCAAGGGACGCCAAGGTCACTACTCAATAATTTTACTACTGCATTTTGCTAGCTATTTGCATCTAATCTCATAAGTGCATCCAGCTAACTTCGATTTTCTTTTTTGTTCTGTCGACTTGTTGGCAATGCTTCTTCTCATTTATGGCTGATGTTTCTGGTGTCTTCGATCTACAGTGTACTTGGGTAAGAAAAGACACATGCATCTAGTCTCTTGGCCAGCTACTAGCTAGTAGTAGCAGCTATTGTAACTTTGCATCGTTTGGAACATTTTAAGGTGAATGATGCAGAGAGTTTGTTCGATGATTTTACAGGTGGCTATGATAAGGAGGAGAAAGCGGCGAGGGCGTATGATCTTGCCGCGTTGAAGTACTGGGGTCCTAGCACCACAACCAACTTTCCGGTAATTAACTCTCATGCATATATATAAAGATGGATTTATTACATATTTACAATGCATGCATGATCAAAATATATAGCTCCTGATTGATGCAAGTGTGTAGTAAAAGCATGTGCATCATGCGTATATGTGTGTGTGTTTTTGGTTGATGTATCTTTATGGGGCAAGCTGTTTATAATCTTTCAGGTTGCCGAGTACGAAAAGGAGCTTGAGGAGATGAAGCATATGACACGCCAGGAGTTTGTAGCTTCACTTAGGAGGTACAAGCTAATGATCACTCTTTAGCAATGTTTAATTATATGTTGTGATATTCCATGCATGGCCATTCATCAAAGTATATATGCTCCCATGCAAAGCCATTCTATGCATGCATGTTTCATCATGATCACCTGTTTTTTTATATGTATGTATGTAGCTTTGTTAATTTATTTGTTCATGTCAGCTTGATGAAAAACTTGTACTGGTGCATGCAGGAAGAGCAGTGGATTCTCTCGTGGTGCTTCTATATACAGGGGTGTTACAAGGTTCATATATATATTGGTCTTGTACTAATCTTTCACTTGTAGCCTAGCTAGCCATGTTTGGCCTCTTGCACGTAAGTCTCAGGTAACTGATGTTTTGTGTGATGCAACCATGTAGACATCACCAGCATGGGCGATGGCAAGCAAGGATCGGAAGAGTGGCTGGCAACAAGGATCTCTACCTCGGAACATTCGGTAATTAAGTTTGTACATTAATTTCCATGTTGAATCTGTCGTCCATGTTCATTTTTTTTGTTTAGCAGAAATTTGTTAAGCCTTTTTTTGTTGCCCTCTTCTTCAACAAATGTATGACCTGATAAGAAAAAATGATATCAATAACCCAACAAAACCTCTCAACATTTGACTAATTATATCTGGGTGATGTTTGCAGAAAACACGCATGTAGGCAATACTTTCATGCATGTAGGCAATACTACTTTCATACTAATGTTTTCTAATACTAGTGGATCTACTGACAATGCAATGTCAGTGTGCTCATCATGTAGAAGAATGCTCAAGAGTTTTCTCGACGCTAAGCTATACATAATCTTTGTCATTAGAACTTTCTTTTATCAAAGATGAAATTGCAAGTAGGAGGGTGCATGCACGTGTTGGGCCCCTCATTAGCTAGCATTAGTCATTTTCTTACACTCAACATTACAATATTAAGCCCTTGCACGTAGGTTCCATCTTAATTTATGCTTTGCACACACAGGGCTTGTAGCTAGATTCGTCGACATATTTTATGCAGGTCAAAAACATCTACTTTGACCAAGATGTAAGCATGCCCACATTTGATTCGAAATTTGTCATCTTTTGCGCGCCATGCATGATGGTTTTGGGGCTTTATGCAGCAGGCAAGGAAAAAAGAAGACACACCATGCTTAGACCATGGACGCATGTATATATCTATGGCTGATTGATTTGCAAACCTGAACACTACTGCCTTTCTTCGTTCACTGCATGTAGCAGCCCGTGTTTGGAATATCATTATTACTGCTATTACCGCGCTCGGCTTTCCACAAAGCATGTGATTGGTGATTAATTTACTACTGCCTTGCTGAACCGGCCATTATTATTGTACTATGTTGGATTTAACTAAGCTTGATCACCACACTGGGCTACAGTTTCGTCAGTTGTTGCTTGGTCCAAAGTCTTACTGGTGCAACTTGCTGGTTATCTATAAACTTACTGGAAGGCTCACTGCACTATGATGCCATACTTTGTTAAGTACAATTAGCTAATTCAAATATGTTTCATGTGACATTACTATTCAGCCATTAGTAATTTACAGGTGGTGTTGATTTTACTTCAAGTACCTAAATAAAATTGACAATAACGCATCGTTCTTCTGCATATGTGTGGTGTTCAACAGCTGATTGTTGCTTGCTTCCTTCTTTCAGGCACTGAGGAGGAAGCTGCAGAAGCTTATGACATCGCGGCGATCAAGTTCCGTGGCCTGAATGCTGTCACCAACTTTGAGATCGGCCGGTATAACGTGGAGAGCATAATCAGTAGCAACCTTCCAATCGGGAGCATGGCCGGCAACCGGAGCACCAAGGCCGGCCTAGAGCTCGCTCCGTCGAGCTCCGCCGACGCCATCGCCGCCACCGAAGCGAACCACACCGGCGTCGCGCCACCGTCGACGCTTGCGTTCACAGCTCTTCCAATGAAGTATGATCAGGCAGATTACCTGTCATACCTCGCATTGCAGCATCACCAGCAAGGAAACCTTCAGGGGCTAGGCTTCGGTCTCTACAGCTCAGGTGTAAACCTGGATTTCGCAAATGCCAATGGCAATGGAGCCATGTCAAATTGCTACACCAATGTCTCATTACATGAGCAGCAGCAGCAACATCAGCACCAGCATCAGCAGGAGCAGCAGCAAGATCAACAGGATGATCAGTCACAAAGCTCCAACAACAGCTGCGGCTCCATTCCGTTTGCAACACCCATAGCTTTCAGTGGGTCATATGAAAGCTCCATGACAGCAGCAGGCACCTTTGGATACTACCCAAATGTTGCAGCCTTTCAGACACCAATCTTTGGGATGGAATGATTTGGGGAGGTGGCACTTTGCAGGCAAAAAGGATGAAGAGCCTGATCCCTGATCAGAGGTGATGAGGATCAAGACTGACATAGTTCATTCTCACACAACAACAACAACAACAAACATAAAGAGCAGGGGAAAAGAGAGGTAATGTAGTAGTAGTGGTATGATGATAAAGTATGATGCAAACATAGTAGGAAGCAGTATGCAGGAGAGAGATACTGACAGGTCAGAGACAGGAGGAGAAGACTCTGCTAACAAAACGATGCAGCGCAAGCATATTGTTTTATTTTACTGCCCTTTTACCCTTTTGTAGCTTTGTTTTCTTGTGCTTTTGTCATCGCTGAGCTTTGTTTGCCGCTCAGCTTCTTTTGAGCTTTTCTTTCTACTGACATGATTCTGCAAGTGCCATGATAGCTTAGCCCATGTACAATGGAAGCAGGGACGTCTCTTTGTAGCTTTTGCTTCTTTTCTTTTGTTAGATCGCCTTTGGTAGCGGCCCCTGTTTACTCAAGAAGTTGCTCTCCCTCCACAAGTATACAATGAAATGTACTGCAGGAACTAAACAATATAAGTTTTTGTAACATTTTCCATAAAGTTTAGTTCCTAGTTTTCAAACACCCCCTAAATATTTCATTCAGTACTTTAAAAGAAGTAAAAAAAATCAGTACTCATCACGAGTTATGCTTGTACTTTCTCCGTTTCACAATATTAACATTTTTTATATTTATATTAATATTAATGAATCTAAATAGATATATATGTCTAAATTTATTAACATCAACATAAATTTGGAAAATGTTAGAATGATTTACATTGTAAAACGGAGAGAGTACTGTTTACGTTGCTGAGATCTGTTACAGGCTGATGGAGCATTATCTCCGTAAAAAAGGACGAAACAAAGTTCTGTACCAATATTTTCATCATGGGCCGAAAAGGATGAGATGGTCGGCCTGACCCACAATCCTTTTTTGATAGTTCTCGTTGCGCCCTGGCCCAAGAAGAATGGCCTTCAGGCCGGCCCAACTACTGGCCTGCAGGCCGGCCCAACTACTATGGGAATTCCATCCCAGCCGAAAAAAAGATGGGCTGCAAGTGGGCGGGAATCTTATCATCTACGTAGATGGGAGTCCCGTTTCGGCCCTATTATGGGCTGCACCTACACTAAACTTCTATTCTGGCCTAAAGATAATAGCCTTCTAAGCAACCGTATCAACCTCCAAGTACACATGTGTTCACATGTGAATATGAAGATTTCCGAGCGCACTTGTGAAACGGATGACTACGAAGATTAAGTTGTCGTATGTAAAATGAGAGAGCGCTATTAGTATATAATTAATTAAATTTTAATTATTATAAACTTGATAAATGGATATATTTAATATTTTAAAACAACTTGAAAAGTTTCCGCCCAAAACGTATAGTTTAATAGTTTAAAAAATATACTAATGTAAAATAAGATAAAATCTAAATCTTAATCAGAAAACTGAGATAAAATTTGAATCTTAATCAGAAAAGAATGGAATAGTGCCATGCACGAAGTGTCCACGTCAACTCCCCTCAGGCTGTCGATAAGTAGGGTGACTAGGGTGACAACGACGATCGTCACCGGGCCTAGGTGCTTTGGGCAGCGCGAGGTGGCACACGATAAGTAGTGGGACACTCTAGAATTTGTCTTAATCAATTGGATAACATATATTCAAATAAGTACTTCCTCTGTTTCAGGTTACAATGAGTTTTGACTTCGGTCAAAGTTAAACTGTCTTAAATTTGACTAAGTTTGTAAAAAAAAGTAAAATATATTTAATTATTGATTTGATGAAACTAATTTAATATTATAAATATTATTATATTTCTCTATAAATTTAGTCAAACATGAAACAATTTGATATTGACCAAAGTCAAAACGTCTTGTAACCGAAACGAAGGGAGTAGTATATGTATAATAAAGTACATTTTACCCATAAGAAAGTATAGGTAGTTTTTGCTAATATAATACATAAACATGTAAGAGGATGTTTACATATAGTGACACATAAGCAAAACTACCAATGTGTTTATTATTCTTATTCCACGACTGATGTAAATGAAAAACACTGCAAAGCAAAATCAAACTGGTGTGTAGATCAGAGGGCATGAAATTCCATAGGAAATATCGTTTCCACAACACGCCCTCTCCTCCATGCTCTGTTCCTTTATTAACAGCCACCTCCGCCGCCGCCACAGCCACCTCCGCCGCCGCCACACCCGCCGCCGCCGCCACAGCCACCTCCACCGCCTCCACACCCGCCACCTCCTCCATAGCTGGGCCGCTTCCGTCCACCGGAGCTGCCCTTGCCATCGGCGCAGTTAAACACGACGAACGCCACGATCGCTACGGCCGCCACGAAGACCAGAGCTATGCCGACAACACTCCTGCTCACGTCGGGCATGGAGCCGCCGGCGGCGGCGAAGCCTGCGTCCACGGCGAGCCTGACCATATATATATATCAAGATCGAGCTGCCCCGCTTGTTGGTGAGATCGGGTGGTAATTAAAGGGTTGGAGGGAGCTAATAGCTTAGCTGTCTATATATATATACTACTCCAGGTGAAACGGACACGGAACAGCGGAACTGTCAAGTTGAAATATCTTCATCGAGTGGTGAGCTAACTATTTCTACGAAATTGCTACGTTATACTCCATCTCAAAAGAAAAAGAACTTAGGAGAGAATACATGATTCTCTCTTTCTAGTATAATGAATCTGAAGAATATCACACCTCTTTCTAGATTGTTTTTTTTTTTTTATAAATAGAGTATACCTGTAACCTGCATGCAGGATGTATATAGGATCATTGCCTTGAGAAATCTAGCTCAGAATGGTACGTTACGTTATTTTCTTGTCTCCTTTTTTTCTTTGCGAGAACAATATACGTTACGTGTATTACAGATATATAGCTTGATTGACCGGGAGGTTTTCATATATATCTAAGGATGACTGATTCAATCGTTGTCCATCTAGAAGTTAGCTAATTGGCAATTGTTCCCACGGCGGCTAGTTTTACATATCAGCTTAAATGCTTAATTATCTGTATTGCGCGTCCTTGATTGTACGTCATGTCGACAACGTCACGACCACGTTGCTGTTTGACCTTATTGCTAATTAGCTCGATATCTACTGAAATTAGGCTTTGTTGGCCGATGGGGACAAAGTACTTCTACATCCAAAACATGAGATGCACTTACACTACTACATGATAAATTTTTCTGCACGCCGTCCCCTTTTATTTTCATGCAATCCGTATGTGGAACCGCACGAGAAAATAGGGGAACCGGCGCCGGGTTGTATCCTGTACGAGAAAATGCATTTTCCCGTGTGGGCATCTTAATCTAACCGCACGGGCAGTCGACTTAAGAAGACCGTACGGAAATATCGATTTTCGCGTGCGAACCTCTTAAGTGGACCGCACGCGAAAATACTCTCCCTTCTCTCTAATTTTTTTCCCTCCCAACACTTCAAAATTTTCATCCTTATCCTTATTTCAACATATCCTCTCCTCTTCTCTCTCTCACATCCCCCCTCTTTCTCTCATTTCTCCCTTCCTCTCCCCATCTTTTTCTCTCTCACCGCGAGCAGGGGCAGTGGGCCGATGAGGAGGCGCCAGGCCGATCTGGCGGCCGCCGCCCTCCCCGGCCTTCCTCCTCTACGGAGACAGCAGCGATGATGATGAGGTGGCGCGCAACGGTGGCGGCGGCGGCCACCCCTCGCACGGATCCAGTGGCGGCGGACCTCCGTCGCACAGATCTGGCAACAGCGACGGGAGCGGGCGACGGCGGATCCGGCCACGGCTACGGCAACGATGACGAAGACGGGAGGGTGGCGGCGGCGACGACGAGGTGGCGCGCGACAGCAGTGGCGGCCACCCCCTGCGCGGATCCAACGGCGGCGGACCTCCGCCGCACAGATCTGGCAACGGCGATGGGAACGGGTGACGGTGCGGACGGCGGATCCGGCCACAGTGACGGCGACGAGAGGGCGGCGGCGGCGGCAACGGCTAGGGTAAGGGTTTCGTATATTTCAATATTGTTTTTTTTTCGATTTTTTATTTTTGCCTGCAGGCGACATAAGCACCCGCACGCGAATATTTTCACGTGCGGGTGAGCCACCCGCGCGCAAAAATAGCGATTTTCACAGGCGATTTGCTCCATACGGACCGAAGCTCCGTACGCGAAAATCCGATTCGACCGCACGGGAAAATCTATCGTGTAGTAGTGTTAATTTGTTAACTATATATTAATTATACATTGTGTTCATGGAAATTGGCTCACGATGACCACGCACAGTGTTAATAAACCTGTAATCGCGAGCGACGAGCCGTATACGTGGATCATTACGGCGAAACGCACGGACACCCATCTGCTGATGATTCGCCGCGAGAAGCTACTCTCTCCATCCAAAAAAAAAAACTTAACCTAAGAGAAGATGTGTCCCCTCCTATGTGGAGATGTGTTCCCTCATAGAAGGATGAATATGTACTACCCTTACTCCAGATTCATCCTCCTAGAAGGGTCGTAATCCAGATTCATCCTCTCCTATGTCCAACGCCGACGGCCGCGGAGCTATACGAGTCGGAGCTCAAGTTTCTCGCCGCCGGCTTCCAGCTGAGCGGCGCGGCTGGGGCGGCTCATGTACAATGGAAGCAGGGACGTCTCTTTGTAGCTTTTGCTTCTTTTCTTTTGTTAGATCGCCTTTAGTAGTGGCCCCTGTTTACTCAAGAAGTTGCTCCCCCTCCACAAGTATACAATGTAATATAATGCAGGAACTATCAGAAATTCTTAAGTGTAGTAGCCAGCTTCATAAGCTAAATATTGCATTCCGTACTTCAAAAGAAGTAAAAGATTCAGTACTCATCACGAGTTATGCTTGTACTGTTTACTGAGATCAGTTACAGGCTAATAGAGCAGATTTATCTCCGTAAACAAGGACGAATTGAAGTTCTGTACCATCATTTTCAACATGGGCCGAAAGGATGAGATGGTCGGCCTGGCCCACAATCCTTTTCTGATTGTTCTCGTTGCTGCCTGGCCCAAGAAGAATGGCCAGCACGCCGGCCCAACTACTATGGGAATTCCATCCCAGCCGAAAAAAAGATGGGCTGCGAGTGGGCGGGAATCTTATTCCCCACGTAGATGGGAGTCCCGTTTCGGCCCAATAATTATGGCCCGCACTATACTAAACTTCCATTCTGGCCTAAAAGTAGTAGCCTTGGGCTGCGTTCTTCAGTAAGTTTCCAACCTCACTCTATTATTTCCCTTGCGCACACTTTACAAACTGCTAAACAGGGTATAGTTTACGAAAACTCTATAGAAAAGTTGCTAAAAATTCATATTGATCCTTTTTAAGTTTTTTAAACTAATAATTAATTAATCACGTACTAATCCATTGTGTTGTTTTCGTGTCGGAGGTGAGAGTTCCCAACCCTCACGGACTCACCTAAGAATACAGTGCACATGTGAAACGGATGAATATGAAGATTAAGTTGACGTACGTAAAATGAGATGGGGCTATAATTAGTATATAATTAATTAAGTTTTAATTATTATAAACTTGACAAATGGATATATTTGATATTTTAAAGCAACTTCTATATAGAAAATTTTTCACATAACATATACCGTTTAGTAGTTTAAAAAATATGCTAATGAAAATTGAGATAAAATCTGAATCTTAATCGGAAAAGAATAGGGCCATGCACCATGTCGACTCCCCTCATGCTATCGATAGAGGGCGGCGAGCCAGCGACTAGGGTGACAACGGTGATCGTCAGCGGATCGAGGTGCTTTGGGCAACGCGTTAGGTGGCACACGATAGGTAGTGGGACTCTCTAATATTTGTCTTAATCAATTGGATAACATATATTCAAATAAGCACATGTATAGTAAAGGATGGACATTTTACCCATAAGAAAGTATTGTTATATAATACATAAACATGTAAGAAGATGTTTACATACAATGATACATAAGCAAAATTACCATAGCGTTCATTATTTCACGATTGATGCAAATGAAAAACAGTGCAAAGCAACATGCGTCAAACTGGGATAGATCAAAGGACATGAATTCCATAGGAAATCGTTTCCACACAACGCTATATATATACCTACACCGCTATATATCTCTCCTCCATGCTCTGTTCCCTTCATTAACAGCCACCTCCGCTGCCGCCGCCGCCGCCGCAACCACCGCCACCTCCGCCGCCGCCGCCGCCGCCGCAACCACCGCCACCGCCACCTCCGCCTCCGCCACCTCCGGTGCGCCTCCTCCGTCCACCGGAGCCATCGGCGCAGTTAAACACGACGAACGCCACGATCGCTACGGCCGCCACAAAGACCAGCGCTATGCCGACAACACTCCTGCTCACGTCGGGCACGGAGCCGCCGGCGGCGGCGGTGAAGCCTCGGCCAAGGCCGGCGTCCACGGCGAGCCTACCCATGGTGATATATCGATCGAGCTGCCGCTTGCTAGTGAGATCGGGTGGTAATTAAAGGGTTGGAGGGAGCTAGCTAGCTAGCTTAGCTGTCTATATAGGCTGTGTGTTTAGATCACACCAAAATTAAAAGTTTAATTAAAATTGTAACGATGTGATGAAAAAGTTGAAAGTTTGTGTGTGTAAGAAAGTTTTAATGTAATAGAAATATTGGAAGTTTGAAAAAAAAAACTTTTTAACTAAACACGGCCTTCACAGACACGGAACAGTGGAACTGGCCAGTTGAAATATCTTCATCTGGTGGCACGAACTATTTCTACGAAATTGCTGCGTTGTACTCTGTCAAAAAAAATAATTAGAAGAGGATATATGATTCCTCCTAGAACAACGAATCTGTACAATATTATATCTCTTTCTAGGTTAGTTTTTTTTTTTTTGACTAATTGAGTATACCTGTAGCCTGTAGGATGTATATAGGATCATTGCCTTAAAAAATCTAGCTCAGAATGGTACGTTACGTTATCTTCTTATCTCCTTTTTTTTTTTTTGAGAGAACAATATACGTCATTGATTGTACGCCAAGTCGCCAACGTCATGACCACGTTGCTGTTTGACCTTATAACTAATAATTAGCTCGATATGTACTGAAATTTGGCTTCGTTGGCCGATCGGGACAAACTACTTCTACATCCAAAACATTATACGCACTTAATTTGTTAACTACTATATATTAATTGTACATTGTGTCGATAGAAATTGGCTCATGTTGACCACAGTGTTAACCGCTCATCATCGCCGGCGTACGTGGATCATTACGGCGAAACGCACTGACACCCATCCGCTGAATGATTCGCCGAGGAGCTAGGCTACTGCCAGGACGGTGACGGAGTCGTTAGGCCCATCCAAATGTTTGTGAAAAGAAAATTTTTAGATGTCACATTAAATGTTTGACTGGATATTAGAATGGGTTTTCGGACACGAATGAAAAACTAATTTTTATAACTCGTCTGTAAACCGCGAGACGAATCTTTTAAGCCTAATTAATCCATCATTAACACATGTGGATTACTGTAGCACTTATGGCTAATTATAGACAAATTAGGCT